TCTTACGCTGAGGCGATGGCGGGTCCCTACTCCTCTCAGTGGCAGACAGCCATGGACGCAGAGATGGCTTCCTGGAAGTCCACAGGCACCTACGTCGACGAGGTTCCCCCACCTGGGGCGAACATCGTCAGTGGCATGCGGATTTTCAGGGTGAAGCGGCCGCCGGGTTCTCCTCCTGTCTTCAAGGCGCGCTATGTTGCTCGAGGCTTCAGTCAGCGAGAGGGAGTAGACTTCTTCCATACCTTCTCCCCCACCCCGAAGATGACCACTCTTCGGGTGCTGCTGCACATAGCCGCTCACCGCGACTACGAGCTTCACTCACTTGACTTCAGCACTGCTTTCTTGCAGGGCAGTCTGCACGAGGAGATCTGGCTGCGCCGCCCTCCTGGCTTCACTGGGTCGGTTCCTCCTGGTACCCAGTGGAGGCTCCAGCGGCCGGTCTACGGTCTCCGCCAGGCGCCGCGTGAGTGGCACGACACACTGAGGACTACACTTGCGGCTCTTGGGTTCACTCCTTCTACTGCTGACTCGTCGCTGTTTCTACGCACCGACACCTCGCTGCCGCCGTTCTACATCCTCGTGCACGTCGACGACTTGGTCTTTGCCACTGCTGACACTACGGCACTCGCCCACGTGAAGTCGGAGCTGCAGAAGAGACACACGTGCACAGACCTGGGTGAACTGACAAGCTATCTTGGCTTGCGGATCACCCGGGACAGAGCACGGCGCACCATCACCTTGACTCAGTCACACATGGTGCAGCAGGTCCTTCAGCGCTTCCGCTTCACGTACTCCTCGCCTCAGTCCACTCCTCTGCCTACCGGTCACTCGCTCTCAGCTCTGCCTTCGGATGAGTCCGTAGAGCCGAGTGGCCCGTATCCAGAGCTTGTGGGCTGCCTCATGTACCTGATGACCTGCACTCGACCTGACCTTGCATACCCTCTTAGCATCCTTGCACGCTATGTCGCTCCTGGCCGTCACCGGAAGGAGCACATGGATGCCGCTAAGAGGGTGTTGCGCTACTTTTGCAGTACGTCAGGCATGGGGCTAGTGCTTGGAGGGCGAGACCGAGTTGTACTTACTGGCGGACGACCAGGCTACTCAGCGGTCGTCTCAGGGTTACACCTTCAGTCTTGGCTCTGGCTCAGTTTCTTGGCGTTCTACACGCTCTTCTTCTGTTCTCAGCTCCAGTTGTGAGGCTGAGATCTACGCCACAGCCATGGCGGCCCAGGAGCTACGCTGGCTGACCTACCTGCTGACCGACTTGGGAGAGTGGCCTCGTTCTCCTCCAGTGCTGTACGTCGACAACAAGGATGCCATTGCCTTGTGCGAGGAGCACAGACTGGAGCACAGAACGAAGCACATCGCTCTGCGGTACTTCCTTGCTCGAGAGCTGCAGCAGCGCGGTCAGCTTCGTCTCCGTTACTTGGCCACTGAGGCCAACACTGTTGATGTGTTCACCAAGGCGCTTCAGCCTTGTGACCATCAGCGCTTCTGTACTCTTCTAGGCCTTGTGCCTGCTGGACCTCACTTGCTTACTTCTTGACTCTGTTTGTACTGTGATCTCTATATATATACCTGCATGTTTACACTTGCTAGGTTGTGATCACTGTATCTCTTGCTATATTATCAAACTGCATGAGGACTGGTCTTGTGACCACTTGCTTGTGCTCAGAATTTGTGTGGTATCCTTGAGGTCCACCCTGAGCTTGCTTTGCTTTGCTTTGCTTTGACTGGTCTTGTGACCCTCTGGTTGTCTCCCACTTCGCCTATGGGGGTGTGTCAAACATTGTATGTTTATATTGTGTAGGCTATAGTGGGTTTAGCCTTAGAGGGTACACAAACTTAGGGTTTCATACTTGTACCCGCGTTCCTGCTAGTTGATTCATTCCTCCTCTGAGGTTTGGGCGAAATGCCGCTCGAGAAACTACGCGTTCCCGAAAGGCGAAATTTCGCAACCGCATCGGGAAGGTCCATCCCCACCTTCCCCCCAATGGCGCGAAATTTGCTCATCACCGACCCTTGTGCTGCTCGCTGACCAAAATTTGCTCAACGTGGGTAAAAAGCGCAAATAAATCACCCCCCGCTCAAACACAACTCCCCCCACCTCGTGTTTGGGATGGAAAAAGGGGGGGTATACGAACCCCCTTTGTCAAACTGAAGGCTTGTTCAAGGGTTCCCCTGAACAGCAATGCGTCCGCTGTGCCACCGCTGTGCCACCGCTGTGCTTCGAAAAACGCGGCATGACGATGGCATTGCAAGGGGATGGTGTTTTGCCTGGGGAGGAAGTTTCGTCCCCGCTTCCATATGCCGTCGAAACGTTAAAATTGGTGTACAAAAGTGGGCGTTCGCCAGACGCCCAGTTTGTTAATTGGTTTGGACGGTTGGTGAGGCTCGGCACATTTTTCACGGGCTGACCAAGCTGACGGAGGTTAACGAACTCTAACTGACGGGAAAAGGAAGGCGAGACCCACCTTCCTGATCCCGTCGTTATCCCGTCGTTTTTAGATATAATGGTGCTGGCGAACAGCCCCATTGTTACACCAGTGCAACTTCGGAAAAATGGGCCACGTGTTCGGCTGGCATTAAATGGGCCAAATTTAATGGAATCAACCGAAAATGACACTTCGGAGAAGCTTGTATGCAGATGCCTGATAGAGCGTAGAATCACTGTACTGGCAGCCCGGGCAGCCTTGCAAAGCAGCGGCATGTCTGCCGCCTTCCAGTGTATGGGCCCACCACCCGCTTCTGCTGCCATACTGTCCGCCGCGCGCCCCGTGGTGCGCGGCGGCGAAACCCTAATTTCTGCCCGCCGCGCTCTCGGGGCGCCTGGCGGTTTTCCCCTCCGTGGCGCCCGTCGTAATGCCCTTGGGGGGGCCTCCGCGGTCCCCTCCCGTCGAAGCGCCCGTCGAGGCGCTCTCAGGGACCCGCGCGGCCTCCCCTCCCGTCGCCCGTCGTGACTGCGGAGATTAGCTCTACAACGGTAGTGAGCTAGACTACGGGGGTTGGCACGAACTACTAGGAGTGATCGTAGCTTTGCTTGGTTCCTTAGTGCTTGCACATTCACGGGAGAAGTTGGCAAGAGTTTCCACTAGCAAAGTTGGAATTACAGAATGAATATTTCAAGCAATGACAGAATGACTACATCAGGCACCTAGCAACCCTGCAGCCAGCCTGGTCGACTGCCAGCACAGCTCGGTCGACCGCGCGCCAGCGTTGCGTAGAGGAGCCGCGCCAGCACTGCAGAAGAGCGACCTGCCAACGCTGCAGGTCGACGGCGTGCCAACGCTGCAGCAATGCGGCGGTCCAGCGTTGCCCCGTAGAAGACAGCAGTGCGTACGCGCACAGATGCGCGCAGACGATTGGCCCGACTTGCTTCGTTGGGCATCCGTCGGCTGTTGTCTGCGCCTGACGAGCCACATCGACTTCGGGATACCAGCCCGCAGTCGCCTTCGCCATCGCGATCTCGACGACGTTCGCGTGCCTCCGCAGAACTCGTCGAGCAGGTTACCCGGTCGACCTGGACACCACCAGGTGCTCCCCGTCGACCACCAGGTGCCTCCGGTCGACCACCAGGCCCTTCTGGTCGACCACAGTTCCCGTCGAGCTACCCCCTGGTCGACGGACCCCTTCCGTCGACCAGAACTGCTCCGTCGACCTCCCGGTCGAGCTGCAGGTCGACGGGATGCTTCGCGGACCTCCCGGTCGAGCTGCAGTTCGACGTGAAGCTCCCGAGACCTCCCCGTCGAGCTGTAGTTCGACGGGATGCTCCAGAGACCTCCCCGTCGAGCTGTAGGTCGACGGACTGCTCCGTCGACCTCCCGGACGGCCCACCCATCGCCCAGGCCAGTCAGTTGCGCCCGTCGAGCACCCCTGGTCGACGGAAGCTCCACAGTGACATCCTGCAGCTCGACGAAGCCCGTCGAGCAGCTCCTTCACTGTGAACGGTCGGCTGCTTCACCCGTACATCCGACCAAGTCGTCGGCGTTGCCCAAGCGAGGGCGGGGCCAACACTCCATTCCCGTTAACACTCCCCTGCCGCGCTCACGCTTGGGCCCCCAGCCCACACGGCAGTACTCCACGGAGAAAACTCGTCCTCGGCGTGCACCCCACACACAGCACGCCGTCACCGCACCAGCCGTGCAAAAGGGCACGGCACCTACTGCTGCACCTCGTCGTCGCCGTCGCCGACGTCGGCCAGTCGAACTTGGCCGATGGCGACAGAGCACCGGTTGAAAGCCGGAAAATGCAGCGCCTTCGTCAGGAAATCCGCCGGCTGCTCGGTGGTCGGGATGTACTTCAGCTTGAACTTCCCGCGCCTCACCATGTGCTGCAGCCAGGCGTAGCGTCGCTCCATGTGCTTGAGGTTGCCCGTCAGCCCCAAGCCCTCAGCGACCGTGATTGCCGACTTGTTGTCGACGCGGAGGATGGTCGGCTTCCCAGCGTCAAGCAGCTTGAATTTCGCAGGAAGGAAACGAAGTCGGCGTCCCTCCTTGCCAGCATCCGTGGCCGCGACGTACTCCGACTCGGTCGAGGAGAGCATCGCGCACTTGATGCGCTGGCTCGACCAGGAGACAGCGGCCCCTCCGTAGACGAACACGTAGCCGCCCGTGCTCGTCCGGTTCTGCTTGTCGCTGTCAGAATGAACGGACAGGAATGACTGTACTAGCACAAAGTTGGATACAAGTAGTAAACCCTAATCTAGTGTACCCCCTAAGGTGTAACCCACTACAGCCTACAATCATATAAACATATAATGTTTGACACACCCCCATAGGCGCAGTGGGAGACAACCACAGGGTCACGAGACCAGTCAAAGCAAAGGAAGGCAAGCTCAGGGTGGATCTCAAGGATTCCACACAAATTCCGAGCACAAGCTAGTGGTCACAAGACCAGTTCACATGCGTGGTTTATAGCAGAGCAAGAGATGCAGTGATCACAACCTAGCAAGAGTAAACATGCAGGTATAGATATATATAGTGATCACAGTACAAGCAAAGTCAAGAGGTAAGTAAGTGAGGTCCAGTAGGCACAAGGCCCAGTAGAGTGCAGAAGCGCTGATGGTCACGAGGCTGAAGCGCCTTGGTGAACACATCAGCAGTGTTGGCCTCAGTGGCCACGTAGCGAATACAAAGCTGACCGCGCTGCTGCAGCTCACGAGCAAGGAAGTACCGCAGGGCGATGTGCTTCGTTCTGTGCTCCAGTCTGTGCTCCTCACACAAGGCAATGGCAGCCTTGTTGTCGACGTACAGTACTGGAGGAGAACGAGGCGGCTCTCCGAGGTCGGTCAGCAGGTAGGTCAGCCAGCGTAGCTCCTGGGCAGCCATGGCTGTAGCGTAGATCTCAGCCTCGCAACTGGAGCCGAGAACAGAAGAAGAGCGTGTAGAGCACCAAGAAACTGAGCCAGAGCCAAGGCTGAAGGTGTAACCCTGAGACGACCGCTGAGTGGCCTGGTCGTCTGCCCAAGAAGCGTCTGAGTGCCCTGTGAGAACAACTCGGTCTCGCCCTCCAAGCACAAGCCCCATGCCCGACGTACTGCACAAGTAGCGCAACACCCTCTTAGCGGCATCCATGTGCTCCTTCCTGTGACGGCCAGGAGCGACATAGCGTGCAAGGATGCTAAGAGGGTATGCAAGGTCAGGTCGAGTGCAGGTCATCACGTACATGAGGCAGCCCACAAGCTCTGGATACGGGCCACTCGGCTCTACGGACTCATCCGAAGGCAGAGCTGAGAGCGAGTGACCGGTAGGCAGAGGAGTGGACTGAGGCGAGGAGTACGTGAAGCGGAAGCGCTGGAGAACCTGCTGCACCATGTGTGACTGAGTCAGGGTGATGGTGCGCCGTGCTCTGTCCCGGGTGATCCGCAAGCCAAGATAGCTTGTCAGCTCACCCAGGTCTGTGCACGTGTGTCTCCTCTGCAGCTCCGACTTCACGTAGGCGAGTCCTGCAGTGTCAGCAGTGGCAAAGACCAAGTCGTCGACGTACACGAGGATGTAGAACGGCGGCAGCGAAGTGTCGGTGTGCAGGAACAGCGACGGGTCAGCTGTAGAAGGCGCGAACCCAAGAGCCGCAAGTGTAGTCCTCAGTGTGTCGTGCCACTCACGCGGAGCCTGGCGGAGACCGTAGACCGGCCGCTGAAGCCTCCACTGGGTACCAGGAGGAAACGACCCAGTGAAGCCAGGTGGGCGTCGCAGCCAGATCTCCTCGTGCAGGCTGCCCTGCAAAAAAGCAGTGCTGAAGTCAAGTGAGTGAAGCTCGTAGTCGCGGTGAGCGGCTATGTGCAGCAGCACCCGAAGAGTAGTCATCTTCGGGGTGGGGGAGAAGGTATGGAAGAAGTCAACTCCCTCTCGCTGACTGAAGCCTCGAGCCACGTAACGCGCCTTGAAGACAGGCGGAGAACCCGGCGGCCGCTTCACCCTGAAAATCCACATGCCACTGACGATGTTCGCCCCAGGAGGGGGAACCTCGTCGACGTAGGTGCGTGTGGACTTCCAGGAAGCCATCTCGGCGTCCATGGCTGTCTGCCACTGAGAGGAGTAGGGACCCGCCATCGCCTCAGCGTAAGTGCGCGGGGTCGGGATGTCTGGTGCATCCGGGTCTCCCTCAGGGGCAACTAGCAAGGACACGAGACGGGGCAAAGCAGCAGCAAGACACTGGAACTCCTCCTGTCTGTCCTCAAGGACGTCCGTGCCAAGAGCACACTCACCCCCGACGGACGGAGGACAGACAGACTCAGACTCAGACTCAGCAACAAGGCTAGCAGCGTAGTCTAGACGACAGGCAGCAGCAAAGTCAACCAACTCAGCGACCAGAGCAGACGCAGTCGAGGACTCAAAGGTAGGGTCAGTGACAACAGTAGCGAGGAGACGCGTGACAGTAGGGTGCTCAGCACGGTACCGGTCAGACTCAGGGTCCGGAACGTGAGGCAAAGAGGACGCAGGAGGAGACGGTAGAGGGACACGCTGAGGAGCAGTAGAGGGACGCAGAGTCATGTAGTGAGTGCCTGGGACAGCAGGAGGACGCTCACGACGGACACGACTACCAGTGCGAGCAGGACGAACAGGCGACGCAGGACGAGACTCAGGCTCACGACGCTCTGTAAGACCTCCTGTGGGACCAGTGTAAGGAGAGGGAGCAGGGAGAGGCGAGGTAGGCGGTAACTGTGACTGCGGCTGGACAGGCGGAGGACACTCTACGGAGGGAGGAGGACAAGGAGGAGGAGCCTGCCCAAGAACCTGCTGAAGGAGCGGTACGAAGTACGGTCGCGGCCGCGCAGCGTCTCCAGAAGCAGAGGAGACTCCAGCGGCCGGGTCCTCAGTACCAGCAGCAGCTCCACCGGCCGGGTCCTCAGCACCAGTAGTAGCTCCAACGCCCGGGTCCTCAGCAGCAGCAGCAGCTCCACCGCTCGGGTCCTCAGCTCCAGCAGCAGCTCCACCGTCCGAGTCCTCAGTACCAGCAGCAGCTCCACCGTCCGGGTCCTCAGCACCAGCAGCAGCGCCACCACCCGGGTCCTCAGCTCCAGCAGCAGCTCCAACGTCCGAGTCCTCAGCACCAGCAGTAGCTCCACCAGGCGGGTCCGCAGCACCAGCAGCAGCTCCCACGTCCGGGTCCTCAGCACCAGCAGCAGCGCCACCCCCAGGGTCCGCAGCACCAGGAGCACCACTCCGAAGACTGCAGCGCCGTGTGTACCACTCGCGGATCTGCTGAATGGGGGGGAGCTCCTGGGTAGGAGGGGAAGTACCGGGACGAGCTCCAGCAGCACCTCTCCGAAGGCGGCAGTACTCGAGGTACCTCTCCTGCAGCTGCTGGGAGGAGAGGGCTCCTCCAGGTGTAGCACGCTCAGGCTCAGCACCCCCAGACGCAGCACCCCCAGACCCAGCACCCCCAGGCTCAGCACCTCCAGGCTCCGCACCTCCAGGCTCCGCACCTCCTGGCTCAGCACCCCCAGGCTCCGCACCCCCAGACTCAGCACTCCCAGGCTCAGCACCCCCAGGCTCAGCACCCCCAGACGCAGCACCCCCAGGCTCAGCACCCCCAGGCTCAGCACCCCTAGACGCAGGACGAGAGTCAACAGCTACCTCGACAGGCTCACCCGGGTCTACCTGGGACACACCTGAGGGAGCGGCACCCTGAGGGGGGAGGGGGTCTGGTACCTCAGCACCTGGAGCCAGGAAGAGAGGCGGGGGGGGGAGCGGGGCAGTGCGGTAGGGGAAGAGGCGGTAGTAGGGGACGGACTCGTCAAAAGTGACGTCCTGAGAGGCCAGGACACGCCGCGAGGTGGGGTGGTAGAACTGCCAACCAGGGGCGTCCGGGACAAAGCCAAGGAAGACGCAGGGGACAGCGCGACGGGAGAGCTTGTCCGCGGACGTGTCGCGGACAAAAGCTCGGGATCCCCAGACCCGAAAACGCGACGCATCGCCAGCCTCTCCCGTCCAACACAGTGTCGGAGAAGTCTCGGGCAAGGAGACACGGGGCCAGAGGTTGAGCTGATGCGCAGCGTATCGGACTGCAAACGGCCACAGAAAGTGGGGGGCAGCCGCATGAACCAAGGAGGTACGAGCGACCTCCATGACCAAGCCAATGCGGCGCTCAGCAACCCCATTCTGCTGTGGAGAGGCCGGAAGCGTGAACGACTGCTCAATGCCCTCCTACTGACAGAAGGCCTCCAAGAGGCCAGAGGAAAACTCCCCACCTCTGTCAGAGTGCAGACGCAGGACAGGGAAGTCGGAGCGGAAACGCTCACTAAGCTGGAGACGAGATCTACGGATCCAAGGGATCAAGACATCAGGGACGTCACCCTTGGTGCGCAAGGGGAAGACCGTGGTGTAGCGCGAGAAGTCGTCAACAACAATCAGGAAGTACCTCTCCTGACCCTGGCCACGGACGCGGGCTGGGCCCCACACGTCCATGTGGAGCGTCTGCAAAGGAGCAGTCGTCGGGGGAAAGGAGGAGGAGTGAGGAGCGGCGCGCTGCCGCCCCTCGACACAGGGAAGACAGGGAGGAGCAGGCGAGGCTGGAAGGGGAGGGAGCACCCTGGGAAGACCAGCAACAAGGTCCCGTTTGTGCATGGCCCGAAGGCGCTGCACAGACGGGTGACCAAGGCGGTGGTGCCAAAGGACAGTCTCATGCGCCAGAGAGCGACACGAGCAGGGGGCGGACAGCTGACCTGACGCAGACGCAGACGCGGACGCAGCTACCTGAGGGGACACAGTGGTCAGTGTGTAAAGGTCCGACCCCGGCTCCCGAGTGAAGGTAGCCAGGTGGCGACCCGTCCGAGCACACGTGAAGTGTGTCACGCGCTCGTAGGCGGGGGTGAACTGGTGAACACCCCCGTCCTGGAGCGCACTACCTGCCACCAAGTTCGTAGAGAACGAGGGGAGGTAGAGACCTGACAGCGTGCCGGACGGGACCGCCGGACAAGGAAGGACAGTGGAGGAGGTCGCAATGACCGGACCCCCAGAGGGGTCAGCAAGGGAGACAGCAACTGGCCGAGCGAGTGGCTCAAGGACAGTGCGGTCACGAAAGAAAGAGCGAGAAGCACCTGAGTCCAGGGTGAAGGTGTGCAGTGCTGCAGTCGACTCAGTACCAGGGGGCACGGACGCACGAGCACCTAGGGCTGCAGCCCCACCAGGACCTGTGGGAGGAGACGCACTAGCACCTAGAGCGGCAGCCGGACTGGCCTGAATGCCCGGGTCGGGCGGAACACGCAAGTACTGAGCACCCTCTCCACTAATAGACATCGCATACATGGCAGTGAGAATAGCATCAAAGTCTAAAGCCCAAATATCAACACCCCTCTTTTCCAGATCAGCCCAGCGCGGCAGCTCAGTGGCAGCAGGAAACTGAGTGCGCCACGCGTCGTTAAGGCGCGCGAAGCAGCGCTGCGTGGGGTGCGGCCTCCCACACTGCTGGCCGCTGCGGTCACCTGTGCGAATGACGTACGTGCAGGTAAAGCTACGCTGCGCATACCACTCACGGGCGGCCTGAAGCGTCGGGGCGGGCTGCTGACTCTGCCCTCCGCCAGTGCCTCCACGACCACCACCCCCACCGCCGCCGCCCCGGCCACCTCCACCCCTGCCGCCGCCACGACCACCTCCGCCTCCGCTGCCGCCTCCACCACCACTCCCACCGCTGCTGTCTCCTCCCCCACTGCCGCCACTAGTCTCCCCAGCCGCGCCTCCACTCCCACCGCCTCCACCCCCACCTCCTCCGCCGCCACCCCCACCCCTGCCCCCTTTGTTCCTGCGGCGCCCACTCGAAGCAGACGCGGTCCCGACCTTCTCAGCACCAAGAAGGTCGACAGCAGCAGCAGAGGCGACAGAGGGGAGGAGGGGGGAAGGGGAACACCCCTCAAAGAACGGGGTGCGGGGGTCGCCACGAGAGGTGCCTACAGCGACGATGCTCGCCTCAGCTGCAAGCAGTTCCTTCTCAAGGAGGGCAACAGTGAGCTCAGTGGGGGAGCGAGAGAGGAAGTGGTCCCTGACTGCGCGCAGAGAGTCAGGAAGGCGGGTGACGATGTGGTAGAGAGTGATCCAGAGCGGGGGGGGGTTGCTAGTGAGAAACTCGGCAGGCATAGCAGCGCGAAAGCGGGCCTCACTAGTCTTAAGGTGGGTGATGAGGTCTGCGACAGTGTGAAAGGAGGCTAGGTCGGGGAACAGGTAGGGGAGAGTGAGGCGGCCTAGCGTGGCAGAAGCGGGCGAGGAGTAGCGGGCAACTACAGCGGTGTAGAGGTCCTTAGCGGTCTTGCACTGGCCGAAGTGCTCGCGCTCGTCTAGCGGCAGGGAGTTGCGAATAGCAAAGCGAGTGTGCGCATCACGGGTCTGCCACTGGGAACGCAGAGTGCTGTCAGCAGTTGAGTTAGGGGCAGTGGCATGGCCTAGGGCGTGGTCGTACAGTGAGATATCTTCCTTGGCAGTGAGCTGTAGGAACAGGTGCAGGTCATCTAGCCAGGTTTCGAACTTCACTGGACGGCCCTCGGCATCGAAAGCTAGAACTGGCGGGCTAGCCATAGTAACAGTAGTAGTAGGAATCAGGCCGCTGAAAAGGTGTGCGGAGGGTCAACGGGGCCGGCGGGGCCGCTAGGCAAGGCGCGGGCGGGGTCGACTGTCCGTAGTGGCACACGAGCGGCAGTAGTAGGTAGCGTGGCAGCAGGAGCTGCAACGGTGCACTGGTGGCAGCTGCAGTGGCAGCAGTGTGCGCGGTAGGTAGAAGATAAACAACAGTGAGAGCGAGTGCCTCGCGGGCGGCGGCTGCAGAAGCGCACGGGCGGCAGCGGCGCACTGGGAACGGCGGTGCACGGGCAGCGGCAGCGCACGGGCAGCGGCAGCGTAGGAGCAGCGACGGCGCACGGGCAGCGGCGGCGCACAGGCAGCGGCGGCGCTCGGGAGGCAGCAGTGCGCAAGCAGCAGCGGAAGCAGCGGCGTACGAGCGGCTGCGGGCAGCGGGGCGTGCGCTAGCAGGCGACGGGCGGCTGCGGGGCGTGCGCGAGCAGGCGACGGGCGGCTGCGGGGCGTGCGCGAGCAGGCGACGGGCGGCTGCGGGCGGGCGGCCGCTGCGACAGCGGGCTGCGGGCCTGCGGGACGTGCGCGAGCAGGCGACGGGCGGCTGCGGGGCGTGCGCGAGCAGGCTACGAGCGGCTGCGGGGCGTGCGCGAGCGGCTGCGGGGCGTGCGCGAGCAGGCGACGGGCGGCTGCGGGGCGCTCGTGAGCAGGCGACGGGCCGCGCGCGAGGGAAATAAGGCGCGCGCGGGAAAAAAAAAGACCGCGCGCGAGCGGCTAAGGGGCGGCGCGACGGGGCCTTAAGGGGCGGGTCGCGGGTCGCGGAAGGTAGGGGCCGTAAAAAAAAGTTCGAGGCGCCCTAGGTAGGTAGGTAGGTAGGTAGGGAACGGTGGGCCCTTAAAAAAACGGTCCTAGCGAAGGACCTGCTCTGAAACCATGTCAGAATGAACGGACAGGAATGACTGTACTAGCACAAAGTTGGATACAAGTAGTAAACCCTAATCTAGTGTACCCCCTAAGGTGTAACCCACTACAGCCTACAATCATATAAACATATAATGTTTGACAGTCGCCCGCGTCATCGGCATCCACGTAGCCGATCAGCTCCAGCGACTCTGGTCCACCGCCGAACTCCAAGGCGGTGTCGCGGGTGTCGGCGAGGTAGGCGAGGCAGCGGTCGACCTCGCGCCAATGCTGGTCGCTCCTCACCGTGAGGCCGCTCCCCAGCTTGCTCCAGGTGAACGCGATGTCCGGCCTCGTCGTCGTCGCCGCGAACTGCAGCGAGCCGACCTTCTGCCGGTATTCCTCCTCCTCGCGCTCCTGCGCTTCCTCGTCGTCGAATGTCAGCTCGGCGTAGGCGTCGACCGAGACCGGCGTCTTCGGGACTCGACCGCCCTGCTCCTCGTCGATGAAGCGCCTACGCAGCTTGTCGGCGTAGCCCTGTTGGTGCAGCCACAGCTTCCTCGCCGGCCTGTCGCGGACGATCTCCAGCCCAAGGTACTTCACCACCGGCGAGATCTCCCGCAGCTCGAAGGCGGACTGCAGCAGCTCCTTTAGCTCCTTCAGCATCGCGGTGCTGCTGCTGGCGGCGAGCAGGTCGTCGACGTAGACCAGCACCCAGCAGGTCACTCCGTCGTCGCCGGTCTTGAAGTAGAGCGCCTCGTCGACCTGGCTCTTCTTCCAGCCAGCCCCCAGCAGCACTCCGTCGAGAGCTCTGTACCACAGCAGCGGCGACTGCTTCAGCCCGTAGAGGCTCTTCAACAGCTTACACACCCGGCCGGTCCCATCGTCGAAGTAGTCCGGCTGGTACATGTAGAGCACCCTGTCGAGCTTGCTCTGCAGGAAAGCGTTCTTCATGTCGAGCTGCATCAGGTTGAGGTCGAGGACGGCGACGATGCTGAGGAAAATCCTCAGCGTGACGTAGCTGCTCACCGGCGAGTACGTCTCGTCGTAGTCGGCGCCGTACACCTGTGTGAAGCCCTTCACGACCAGCCTCGCTTTCTCGCGCTCTACGGTGTCGTCGATGCGGTACTTGGTCGTCAGCACCCACCGGTTCTTCATGATGTTCACTCCGCGTGGGCGTTCGACCAGCTCCCAAGTGCCCATGCTGATGAGGCTGCGGATCTCTTCCTCCATGGCGGCCTTCACCGCGTCGCCCTTCCAGCTCGCCAGAGCCTCCTTCACCGTCACAGTGGCGATGTCCCAGCGGTGTTCGGGGTCGGCATGCACGTCGGGGTCGAGCTCCGGCAGGTCTTCATCCTCCTCGGCGTCGTCGTACAACAGGTCGTCGTCGACCTCGTCGTACACCGTGGTGAAGGCAGCTGGTGGCAGGCATGCATGGAGGCTCAGCCGCTCCGGCGGTCGTCGAGCTCGACCAGACCGTCGCAGCTCCGGCGCAGGCTTCTCGACCGGAACCTCCACCACGTCACTGTTAGTGGACTCCTCTCCTGCTGACAGCTCCTCGTCCTCGTCGACGGCCTCGTCGTCGACCAGCTGCTTCGACTCTTCGACCGGCTGCTCGTCTGCTGCTGACTTCGACAGCTCCCCTGTCGACCGCCATGCCTGCTGCTCCCCTGTCGACTGCACGCCAGCTGCTGCCTCCTGTTCGACCGGCTCCCCTGTCTGCTGCTCCCCTGTCGTCGACGGCTTCCGATTCTGGTCGACGAGCTTGGCGCCTTGTCGACCGCCGGCGATGCCACTGGCTGGCGCTACAGGCGACGCCTCACGGCTCCCCTCATCGCCGGTGGCCGACACAGGTGTCGAGGCAGACCGATCTGCGACGGGGGAGGGAGGAGCAAGAACAGGGGGAGGCGGAGGAACCTCCACAACATCGTCATCAGCAGGCTCGTCGACTTCGGCGATCAGGGGGTCCAGCGCCGTCGAGGTGTCCGTCGGCGAGTGCGCCTGCGTCCGCCCCGACGCCGGCCCATACTTCGTCTTCCACACCTCCAACGACATCGTCTCGTAGAAGATCACCTCGACCGACGTGACCACCTTGTTGTCGGTGAGGTCGAGCACCTCCCAGCCCTTGCTCGCCGGCGACACGCCCAAATGAAGCCCCCAGCGAGCCTTCGGTGCCAACTTCCCACCGCGCTGCTGCTCGGGAACCATGAACTGCACCATGCAGCCCCACACCCGCGCCAGCGTGAGGTCGGGCTTCGTCCCGGTTAGCAGCTGGTACGGAGTCGTCCCCGGCGGCGTCGTCGACCGCTCCAAGCAGTTGCGCACCCAGACGGCCTGTCGAAGAGCGAGGTGCCACCAGTGGTGCGGCACACCCATGTGCAGCAGCATCGTCCGCACGGACTCGACGACCGTGCGCATCTCCCGCTCCGCCATACCGTTTTGCTGCGGAGTGTAGGGGCACGTCAGGTCGTGGACGATGCCCTTCCCGTCGACGAAGGTGGTGAAGTCCCGTCCAAGGAACTCCCCTCCCCGGTCAGAGCGGAGCGACAGCACCGACTTCTTCGTCTGCCGTTCCACCAGCACCAGCCACTTCTGGAACTCCCGCAGCACGTCGCTCTTCTTAGCAACCGGCATAGTCCACACAAATCGAGTGTGGCGATCCTTCAGCAGCAGGAAGTATAGGCTGCCATCCTTGGCAGCCACCCAAAATGGCCCGCACAAGTCAATGTGCACGACAGCCAGTGCCTCCTCGGCGTCCGAGCCCTTGTCGGGGAAGGTGTGCCGTGCCAGCTTTCCTCCGACGCACGAAACACACGGCGGGTCTGCTCCGGTCGACGGCGTGATGTCGAGCCCAGTAGCAACTTCATGCTTCGCCGAGCTCTTGATCGTGTCGACGCTGACATGGGCAAGCCGCGCGTGCATCCTGTCAGGGGTCGCCTTCGTTGCCGAGACGATTGTCCGCAGAGCCACCACCTCGGTCGACGGCAAGGGCGTCAAGCAAGGGCGAAGGTCGGTGCAGAGGATTCGTCCGGTGTAGCGTGCTCGACCGAGCACCTCCCCGGTTGCGGCGACGAGCAACAAGTCGTAGCCTTCGGGGATGAGGACCCGCTTTCCGACCTTCCCTTGTAGAGCGACGGTTCCGCGACCCTCGACAGGCTGCAACGCCCCATTGAAGCCGCGCACTTGCTTCACCTCGTCGCTCGGCGCCATGTCGACGAAGGCCGCCTTCGTCCCCATCAGGTGGTGGGAGCACCCGCTGTCGAGCAGCACCGCCATCGGGTCAGCTTGCACAGCTGCCGCCACCGCCTGGAAGTCCTCGCCAGCCTCCGGCGCCAGCGAGACTGTCGGCTCCACCACGCCGACCATCGAGCACGACGCCTCCCCGTCGCCTCGGTCCTTGCCGCTGGAGCTGTCGACTTCCTTCGTCGACGACGCCTTCTTCGACGCCTTCTTCTCCTTGCGCGGCTTCTCATCTCGACGTGGGCGACGGCTGGCCGATCGACCGCGGCCTCCCTTGCTGTCGTCCTCGTCGCTGTCATCGCGGTCGGGGCATTCGAAGGAGAGATGGTCGGGATCGCCACAGATCCAGCACTCCCGCCGTCGACCACCACCTCCACGACCCTTGCCCCGCGTAGACTTCTTCTCGTCGACGTCCTTCGTCGACCGCCCACCTCCGCTACCACCTCCGCTCGGCTTCCCGCGCTGCCCTTGCTGCTGATTCAGCTTCGTCGGTGCAGCGTAGTTTGCCTGCGGAAGGAGCTCCGTGGGCTGTTCGGCCTCCTGCATCGCCTCGTCTTGAAGGATGTAGCTGGTGATGGAGTCCTCGTCGAGGGACTCACGCGTGCCGGGCACCATCATCATCCTCTTCATGAGGTTGTAGCCGCGCGGCAGGCCCTTGACGAGGTGAGTGATGTAGGACGCCGTCGAGTACTCGGCGCCCGCCATCCGCATCTCCGCCAGGATCCGTCGAGCACGGTTGCAGTAGTCCGTCGCCGACTCCTGCTCGCCCATCCGAATGTGAGTCATCTTCTCCTCCAGCTGGCCGATGTACAGGTCGTCCTTAACCTGGTACGTCGACAGGATGAAGCGCCATGCCTGGTGACCAGCAT